AGAGGGAGAGAGAGAGAGAGAAAGGATTTCATCTGAGAGATTGCAGTGGAGCACTCAACATATAATCATATTTGTTGGTTATAATTGCACCCTGTGAGAGCTGATACAGTATTACTGGCTGGCATATTGATCCTACAGGGTGCTCATATGAGGGAGAACTCATAACCTAATACACATAGACAAGATGGAGCCAATGCGCTCAAGTGCTTCTGCCCCCCCACCCATCCACCCTGCTTGTTACTTTCAACTGCCCTCCTCTTGCCTGTTTGCAGGAAGGTTTGGAAATAGCACGATATTTATAAGAATTACTGACAATTACAGTCACTGACAGATGTAACACATAACATGAATGGTTACAAAATATGAACGAGTTGATACAAGTTGTTGAGTACTGTATGCATGCTCCAAATTTAAAATGATAACCCATTGTAAAAGCATGAGTTTTCTTGCTTGTTTAATTCAAAACACAACATTAAACACATAGTTCTTTAATTAATTTTGTATTCTTTCTCTGCTTTCTCTCCTATCTGTAGCTCTTCGCAGGCAGAACTGCCTGTAGCCTTCCTGAACCGACACGTTTGTGGAGTTTTTATCTCGTCGTGGCCCAGAAGTGGCCCCACACTGTCTGAATCCTGCAGGTCCCATCCTCCTCTAGAATGACGGTTGCGACCAGCGACCCTGCGGATGAAGCCGCAGCACATCCAGGTCCGCCTCATGACCAGTACGACCCAGATCTAGATCATGAGTGCTGTGAGAGGGTCGTCATCAACATCTCAGGCTTGCGTTTTGAGACGCAGCTCAAGACTCTCTCCCAGTTTCCTGATACACTGCTGGGTGATCCCAAGAAAAGGATGAGGTATTTTGATCCTCTCCGGAACGAGTACTTCTTTGATCGGAATCGACCAAGTTTTGATGCTATACTTTATTATTACCAATCAGGAGGGAGGCTGCGCCGGCCTGTTAATGTCACCTTGGACATTTTTTCTGAGGAGATCCGGTTTTATGAACTGGGTGAGGAAGCAATGGAAATCTTCAGGGAAGACGAAGGGTTTATAAAGGAAGAAGAGCGGCCGTTGCCAGAGAATGAATTTCAGAGACAAGTATGGTTGCTGTTTGAGTATCCAGAGAGCTCCGGTCCTGCCCGTGTCATTGCCATCATCTCCGTCATGGTGATTCTTATCTCTATTGTCAGCTTCTGTCTGGAGACACTGCCAGTTTTCCGAAACGATGATGAGGAAATGTACAATTATCCGATACCGTCCGGGTCCAATGGGACCTCAACCTATGATAACTCAGCCTATTTTAAAGACCCTTTCTTCATTGTGGAGACCCTCTGTATCATCTGGTTTTCTTTTGAGTTCCTAGTTAGGTTCTTTGCCTGTCCCAGTAAAGCGGGATTCTTTGGCAACATCATGAACATCATTGATATTGTGGCAATCATCCCCTACTTCATCACCCTGGGTACAGAGCTAGCAGAGAGGCCAGAGGACGGACAGGCAGGCCAGCAGGCTATGTCTTTGGCTATTCTGCGTGTAATTCGTCTAGTCAGGGTGTTCCGTATCTTTAAACTCTCACGTCACTCCAAGGGGCTCCAAATCTTGGGACAGACTCTGAAGGCCAGTATGCGTGAACTGGGCCTCCTCATCTTTTTCCTGTTCATCGGAGTGATCCTTTTCTCCAGTGCTGTCTACTTTGCCGAAGCTGACGAGCCTCAGTCCCAGTTCAGCAGCATCCCTGAGGCCTTTTGGTGGGCCGTGGTTTCCATGACCACAGTGGGTTATGGAGACATGGTCCCAACAACCATTGGAGGAAAGATTGTTGGTTCTCTCTGCGCCATTGCCGGGGTGCTGACTATTGCCCTGCCTGTACCTGTCATTGTGTCAAACTTTAACTACTTCTACCACAGAGAGACAGAGGGCGAAGAACAGGCACAGTATCTGAATAGCCCGAGTGTGCCTAAAGCCAGCTCAGCTGAAGATCTGAAGAGGAGTGGGTGTAGTGGCAGTGGGTCCACTCTGAGTAAATCTGACTATGTGGAGATCCAGGAGGCTGTGAACCACAGCACTGAGGACTTCAGACCAGAGGGCATGAAAACAGGAAACTGCACCCTGGCCAACACTAACTATGTAAACATCACTAAGATGCGTACAGATGTATAATGTGAGCTACTGCAGATTAGTTACTTCAGCTGGGGTCTGTAACGGGGGAACAAGATGTACCTCCATTTATTGGCCGATATGTGGCACCCAGAATGGGAGTCCAGAACAAAAGAGTAGGATTCATCTTGTCAGTCGAGAGGACCTCATGTTCTCCTACATCAAATGGACATATCAGCGCATATCATAGAATCGCCACCCGTCTTATTTAGGATATTGTCAGTGTCTGCATGGAGTTAGTCTTACCTTTGTGACAGTAGTCATCCTGCTCACAACAGTAGTCAATTAGTAGCCTTACAAGTAATAACCAATATTTAACTCCATTAAAGGACAATTAGATTTGACCTTCTTGCTCAAACTGCCGCTGGGAGAAGATGACTACAATTTATATCAGCATAACAACTGTTTTTTAAATGTAACTTATTAACTTGTGATTGAAAACAGGCCATACTACTATAAGCATTCATGAGCAACATTAATCTGATGCTCTCACTGCCAAGGTCCTGACTCAGAGAAAAACTAAATCACCAAGATCACAGCTGTTCTGTCAGGAAACTGAAGTGCGCAACAAAGAGCGAGAGACAGACAGAGCGATACTAATACGCTTTTGGCCAAATGGTCATTTGTTGTGAGAGAAAAAAGCATGAGTGCAATAGCTTTCCTCCCCAGACCCACACTACATATTGTCTAGAACAAGCTAGTGACTTCTGTAGAGACCAAGAGATAGATGACCGTGCTGTGCTGTAATTCTGAACAATAGCACACCTTCTTTTTACTGCCATTTTTCTTCTAGGAAGCTCAAGTGGATTTACAGTATAAGACTGCCTTTTTTGTTTTCAGCCAGTGCAGGCATAAAGGTGGACAGAAGAAATGTCTAGCTTAACAGAGTGAATGTTTATTTATTGATGAATGTTTATTTGATTTATTATAATGTATGCTTTTTTTAAAGTGATATGACGAATGTGTGCTTCTCATCTACGTCTTTGATGGTTAAGATGGGTGATGTTGAAGATTTTCTCTGCAGCGTTCTGAGTGAGTGCCTATTTCTTCGTCTTCTTAACGTTACCTTAAAGTGTCTCTTTAGCCGCCATCCTGGTCCATTGTAACACTTCTACAGTGAGATGTGTTCAGTTTGGCTCCACTGCCCAGCATGAATGTTGCTGTTCTTGACTTCATAGCATTCCATGTTTGTAGAAACAGACAAAATAAGATTAAGGAGCGAACTAGAGTAAGATTGTAAACTGTTTGTTTTTGTCAGAGGCTTATTTCAACCAAGTTTTATGGCAGCAAAGTTAACTAATATTATGTATAATGGCTATTTATGCTTTTAACTCTAACATTTTGCGTGCACAACCAAGAGCTCAGTGATCAACTTAAATGTATCTATATGACCTTCATGGTCCATCTCTGCTCATACGATTAATGCCAGCTTTGTGTTATTCAGTCTTTCTGGATAAGTGACAAGAAGGAATGTCAGTGATTGAATCTACTTAAAGCTTGTGTTTGATATCACAAAGCTAATTGGCAAAACATGTTAAATTCATGTCTCTTGCTTGATCAAACTGATATATTGTTTCAGCCTGCAGTGCCCTCTCGATCTCATATTTCTCCCCTTAAACACTTGATCAAAATTAGTCAACTTTGCCTGCCTCTGGAACAAGTTAAAGGTGTTGTTGCTCAATTATCATATTACTGAAGAGAAATGTGCTGCCACCTGGCGTACTGTTGCAAAGAGCTTTCTTTTGTTTTCACTATTTCTTTTCTTTTTGATAATCATTCCATTGGCACCTTTTGCTCATATAATCTAGGACCTAGGCTGTGTGTCCTTTATCAGCTTTATATCAAACAGATGCTATTCAGCTATTGTAGTGATGCATGTCCTTTGAAGTATTCATTGTAGCATGAATTAGTATGAATAATACTTAAAAAGCAAATGGACATCATTATAATCCTATATATCTACTGCCGCTATGTGCAATATACTGTATGAATGACACATTCTTGCTCTAGAAGCATGTGTCATGCAAACCCATCTTCTTGCTCTTGTTATTTGAAATAATTAAGTCACAATCCATGTTAAGTACCCAGAGAGGGTTGTGTTATACCAGAAGATGTGGGAACTATTTTTGAGAGATAGGAGAAATGAACAGCAGTAAACATGAGAGGAAACAGGTTAAGATTGAGAGAAAAGTGAAAATCCACACACACTCCAGAATAGGGATACAAACATACGATCCACAGTGCAGACATCTTCGCATTCAAAGCCTTTATAGTCAGTTCAAGTCACCACCAGTAACTGTGTATCATAGAAAAAGCACAACATCTACTATCCAGCCTAGTATATGCACACATCCATACAGTCAGTTGGACTTTTTGCCCAGCCAATTGTATCATAATGCTCCAAGTGATTGTCTGAGTGCACTTATTTCTGGTATATATTTCCATCAAGCTCAGTGTGTAGTGTCGTCTGTTGATGTGTTATTGTGTGAATGAGAGAGAAACCGAAAGAGATTGTGAGAAATAGAGAGCTGTAAGATACCCACAAGCTGCCAGTTTAGTTATCTAAAACACTGCTCTGCTTGACTCCAGGCCGCTATGGTGCTCTGTATATTATGTTCCATCCCAGCACACTGTTTACAGCCTGTGTATATGTTCAACACATGCGTACAGTATATTAAACAAAGACAACGGAAAGGAATGTCCTGCCACACTCAACAGAGACGAGATCTATGAGCATGTGTTGACTCATGAGATAAGCTGCAGTATCAGCCAATTACTGGGGATTGAAGGAAATGGAAGGAAAGAGAGGAAAGGTTGGGGAGGAAAATACGATAATGAAGTAAGATAAACCCTGCCCACACCCTTTGTTGCTGTTTAATCTGATGTGTACTTGTATTTTTCTACACTGTTCTTGTTGACTGTAACACCTTTGTGACTTTATGTGGCTTGAAGGCTTCGCCTGGACTTCTGTCGTTTCCACTCTTGTTACCAAGCACACAATACTGAACTGACACTCTGCCAAGACAAAAACACTCTTGGAGAAACCGATAGGATGGCACATCAGGAGGATCTTAACCAAGGAAAACACATCTTTGCTGTACTCCCCAGACAAGAGGACACTTGACACAAATACACAAATGCTGGAACGTTGAACACTCAGCTGTTGACACTGCCTGTGATGGTCCAGTCTGCTGTCAGGACAGACTCCTGAGGTTCTATCTCACTTCAAGGTGAACAGACTAAAACCCACTGATGGTGGTGAACACACGTAGCCATGTAAACAATGTATCTAGGAATTAAAGCTGCTTTTGACGATGTCTTAAAATGCCTAAAGCTTCAGCTTTTCAACAAGCTTCTGCCATGTACAGATTCCTGTGTAGCAGGGAATCGAAGTGTATATGCTTGCTGAATTAATCCAAGAAACTAATGTCTTATAGATGAATTATCTCTTAGGTTTAATAAGCTCCAGTGACTAAGAATGGTAATATATTAAGAAATCAAAATGGAAATATAATTTCTGTGAGAACTTTAAATTATTTGTGTCATCAGACACTGTATAAATGGACTGTTGTTTGTTTTTTTCACTATGTTTTTATATTTGAATGTTATTGTTGACTCACCTTGGAGCCTCATACGATGCAGGGGCTGATGTTTGACTGAATTACACATGCAGGCCTTGGTCAAATAGATTCTGTCTGTACCGTCTTAATACATATTTACCCCCAGACAAGCTCGTCCTTTTCTTCTACTTTCTTTGACTATTTTACAATACCAAATAATTTAAAATGTATGTGAGATTTAGATAAACCTCAGCTTCTTCATTAGGTGTTATGAGCTTTTGCAGTCTCTACTCAGCCATCTGTATAAAGACTGTTTTTTTCTACCATTGTAAGGAAAAGGACTAAACCAAGAAGCTAATTATCCCTGGTTACATACACAATGGATCTCAATGCCCTTCACAAGGACTAATGCATTTACATGAATTAATTGAGAACATTAGTAAATGGATACTTTCATCATTCAAAATAATATATAATATAATAACTGATAAATGAATGAATAATAATGGTCCTCATGATAATATCCATTACAACATCTTAATGAACTTACTGTGACTTTCTCATTTGGTGTAAATTAACTCTTGTGATCAAATAGTAGAAACAAAAATACATGTGTTATTCCATCATTGAGCTTATATCAGTTTAGTCTTATAATGATACACTTTCATGCCAGATCTAACAAGCTGAATTTAATCTAGTGTGATTTTAACCATGAGAATATATTGTGTCTATCCACAGAATCAAGCAGAAAATGACTGATTGTTTACTTCATCTAACAACTTACTGTAGGTAAAAATTGCAAAGTCAATGAAGCATATTTTTTTAACATAACCTTTTCTTTTTTGGTACTGTTATAGCAAAAATAAAGCCATGAGATTAAAGCCTTAAAGTACCATTTACAGTATAAAGTCTTGAAAGTATCACTGGAGCGGCCACTATCATGTCCATTACAAAAGGTATATTCGAAGGGACCCTCGCCTCCTCAATGGTTATGTGTCCTGATTCTCCCCTTGAGTGAATCTTATGCTCATGTGTTTTACCGAGAAAAACAAAGTGGTCTATTTATAAAAGCAGTAAGGGGGTAAATTGAGAGAGGAGAGCAAAATGCTCTTGACTCCCAGTTCAACGTAGAGTGGGACAAGTACAAACTTTGCCTGTATCAGTGCCATGAGGGGGCTAACAATTCCCCTAGCAGCTAGGGCCTAGCTGCTGGAAATGTTTGTCTCTCCTTTCACCGTATTTTCTTTCCGCTTTTATCACTGCTGCTCTGGTCTGATCAGGCTTTACCTCTTTAGCATTTGCCCCTATCATATTTAATTTCCCACACATTTTCTCTTTTCTTTCCCCTGCCTCTCCACCAGCGCTAAGCACCAAAGTAATGCAGAGTGGGTGATCTGATTCTCCTCTCAGACATATTAGCAGGAGTATAATGCTCCCTTCGGGCCACCTCAATTGGCTGTGTTCCGGTACGCCAGGACAGTAGCCAGGCATCTTAGATAACTGATAACTAATCCACTGATTGCTGTTTGATTAGCTATGTATTAAGTTCTCTTTTAGACACACAGACCAACTATATCACAAATACAGTATGTGGGTTATCACATATTACAAGTCATGTGAGGTTGTTCCCTGTTTTTTCCCAGCCTTGCACTTTTGTTTTGTCGGCAACTTTTATTAAATGATTTAAAGTGGCAAGGAAAAAATAATCAAATTAATATATTACCAATACGTTTTTCCCGCCTGTTTCATCTCATACGACCTGTAATTTTGATGGACACAAGTCCAGTTCTGTTTGAATTGTATATCTGGCTCTGCCCAATAGACCGAGTGATTGCCTTACATCAGGGGTAGGCAAGTAAGTTTGGCCTTGGGCCAATTTTTTGCTGAGCCACAAGATGGCAGGCCAGAACATAATCAAAGCCTAATTCAAGGAATTGATTTTGGTAAGAGGGCAAGAGCCCGTTCCCCGGTTCAGAAAGAACGCTGATATCGCTGATAACCATCCCCATCAACACTCTGATGCGCAGTCAGATCCGCTGATTGGTTCAATAGGCGCCCAATCCAGAGCCTGGCTAGACCCGCCCAAAGGGAGACTCGTCCTCTCTAGCCCCATTTCAGTCCCAAAGCCAGGGCTATTATCTGTATTTTAACAGACTTATCTTTTAAATTGAGGTGCAGTTATTGTTCTCTTCAAAGTTTATTTTTCTCTGAAATTTTAGGGAGGATGGTCCTCCCTTTCCTCAATGGACGAGCCTCCACTGAGTAAAGTAGAGTTAGGTAGCAGTGTTATTTAACATATTCTGATAAGTATTGTCAAGTTCTCTGGGTTTTTGGCATTTATTTGAGTGTTTGCCCACATTTGAGAGGCTTGAGCGGCAACAGAGAATCCTTTTTCCTTTTCTTTATTTCAACTTTTCAAGGACACATTAGGATTCTTTCAGGTTGAAAACCTTTAAAAAATATCAAAGGACAAAATAAATCAATTACAGCATGTTTGCTTTGCAATTTAATATATTATAACCTAAATTAATCAGTAACCAAGTATTTTACTAAAACTCAATGTATTTAATAGTTAAATAAGTACTTTAATTGACCTGGTTCCCCACAACCACACATTTGCCATAAGTGAAGCGCTCTATCGAAATCAATCGGAAGTCGCAACGGCTCATTTCAAAATAAACGTGGATTTGCATACAAAAATAGTTTTTCGGGATTCGGGTGTTTTGTTTGATTTTAAATAAACAAAGTATTGGCTTTCAGAATATGGAACTTTTATTTCCAAAATCACCCGATAAATACATGTTTGAAGCTTGTAAAGGGAAGATGACAGCTCAGCCACTCTGCTCTTCCACAGCGCCGCCTCCCTCCCTCCGCTGACATTATGAATGTAAACGGATATGTCGGGACAGAATTTATTTTACCGGACAAATTTGAAATGTACCGGTCATGTTTCAATAATAATAAGAATTGTGTAGCAAAGTTTCCGTTAGCAGGTAATCACCGGACTATGACCGGATATGCTGATGTTTAAAACTCATTTAATGGGAGTAATTTTTATATTGCTTCAGTTTATAATCGTTACAGATTAACCGCCGAATCAGATTCATTTTTCAATAAATGATTCCACAAACAACAAACAACATAATTATTACATTTAAACAAACTACTTGTAGTAGATGAAGTACATTATTCAAAAGTTTACATTAACTTTGGATAATAACACGGGAGAAACGGATCCTCTCTTTTCCTCCCTCCCTCCCTCTCTCTCCTGACAGCCCGTCAGTTTCTCATGCAGCTCGCTAAACAGTGGGCGGGGCTTCAGGTGATTATGCAGCAGCTGATCTGATCTCTCTCTCGGGTCCGGTTATACTTCACTCGTGTTTATGTCCATATCGATCAGATCCAGCTCTCCTGGTCGGCCTTTATAGAGAGCACCGATCAAACTATTAAGAGTGAATATCGGCTGATAATGACCGGCGGCCGATCGATCGGAGCATCCCTAATTTTGACCAGCAGGTTTTGAATTTACCGGTTTTTAATGAATTTTACCAGATAAAAACCGGTAATTACCGGCTAACGGAAACCCTGATGTGCGACTCTCTGGTCCTATGTTGTAAAAAAAAAATTTACATTTTTAAAAAAAAAAATAATATTTTATTTTTGATTCTCAAAATTACGGGCCAAATATTATTGCTGGCGGGCCAACAATGGCCCGCGGGCCGCCTGTTTCCGACCCATGCCTTACATGCTTTGAATATTCGTCCTTTCCAGTGTGAGCTGATTTATAACCTAATACAGAACCCAGTTAATGGCCTGCAACCTGAGCTTTCTTTATAGCACGCTTTTCTTTATAGCACTCCATCGGGGAAACCTGTACCATGTGCACATCTGTACATTTACTTTGTGTGTGTGTGTGTGGAGGAGGGGAAACCCTTATTTTCATCACTTCAGTCCCAGTGGTGGAAGCCCCTTTTATTAACCTCCTCTATAAATAGCACACAGCAGGTTTCCCTTCTGTCATATGGAACATCTCCTTCAGGCTTTACTAAAGAGCCCTGGGACTGTGTGTATTTTTAGTTTATAATCTAAAAAAAAAATCTAAAAGTGTGGAGGACTCGGATATTTTTTCCATTGGATTATTCGTTTTTTGTTTAAAATTGTACATTACTTGTAGGGATGATGCATGGTTGAAATAGGGAATGGGTAATGGAGGGGGTGGAGTGGTACGGGGCGTTAGACTTAAGGTGGACATGTGAGAAAAGAAGGATACCACAAGGGAGCTTCAGCCTGTCAATGTGTAAATGAACTAGCCTACATTCTATAGGCTGCACTCAAACATATACTCTTACTTACAGCCAAACACATCGCGCCATGGCTGTGTTATCGTAGCTGGTAAGATATATTTATGGAATATCTGTCTCAGTGCGCTGATTTTAAGAGCTTTGTCTAACAAGGTGACATTGTCTGGCATATTATTCACATGAACTATTCTTGCAATGAATAAAATATATATTTTTGTAGATAACTCACAGTATATAGCATTTTACATTTTATTTCTGCAATTTATTAGTCAGTCTATTTGATAGGAACGGAAAATGTATGTGATTTATATGGAAAAAGAGACATTCCCTCATTAGACAGGAAATCTACTTGTGTTTATAATCCTATTCTTTTGTTGTTTTACTGTACTCCATCTGTCTTTGCTTCAACCATTGAAAAATGAAAGCATTTGGAAGCAAAACAAACACAAGGCACAGCATAACATGTTCTCAACAAGGTTATCTGCATAGTCCAGCCTCCCACGTACCTTAAAAGAATAAATAAATATTATTCATGATGATATAAAAGGAATAAATAAATGCACAAAGCTTCCTTTTTATCAAATAGTGCTGCATAATAAGACAACCAGCTTTGTGTTCAGAGACTCGGTTATACGTTATACTTGAGACAACCTCTGTGCAGGCTGCGCTGCTCTTTAACTTGTAAGTGGGCATCAGAGTGTGAAGGACAAAAACATCCAATCAGCTAAAGGGTATGAATTAAAACTGTGATCAAAGAGAATATATTTGTTATGAAGTTAAAAAGGTTAGGCAGTCCTGCTCAATTCACATTTTTTCTGACAAACAGCAGGATGTCTGATAACCTGCTGCTGTCATGAATAACCTGA